TGCTTGAGGGCAACCCACAGAATAAACGCGTGTCTGGGAATATTCTGGGAAAACCAGACCAAGTGATGCCAGGAGACATCCGGCTCATTAGGACAGAGGGAGAGCCAGACCTCATGAACAGAAAATGGCGTGAGCCGACCATCCCTGGTTCTCCAGAGGAGTTTATCAGGGGTATTAGACGAAAGAACAGGAAGAGGAGAATTGCGGATTAAAGGGTTGGGACTGTCCCTCAGGAGAGGGAAGTTCCAAAAACCCTGGGAGATGATATCCTTCACTGGAGCAGAAAGAGGGAGATTAGAATGAATGATACTGCGGGAAGATAAATGCCAGTAGAGGGGACCCACCGGGTGCCAGTTGTCGTACCAGGCGGACGTGGAAGCGCCATTACCAATATGAGAGACAATGCAGTTTCTAATCTTTTCCCTCATGCCAAGGATCTTCCTCCAGCCCCAACCTACATCACTGCGGATCGGGACATCCCAGAAGTTACGCTYTTTAAGCCTGTAGGAGTGGATCCATTTAACCCATAAAGAATCCTTGATGGTAAGGATTCTCCAAGTATGAGAAGCCATGAGGGCACAGTTCCAGGAGGACAGGCTCTTAATTCCAAGACCGCCTTGAGTTTTTGGGAGACAGACGGTCTTCCAGGAGACCTTTGCCTTCCCTCTTTTGAGCTCGCCATGGCACCACAAGAAGCCCCGCATAAGCTGCTCAATCTCCTTAGATATAGAAATAGGAAGCATAAAGATCGAGGCCCAGTAAATTTGCATGGAGGACAAGACCGAGAGAATGAGTTGCAGTCTACCGGCAAAAGAGAGAGACTTGTTTTTCCAATCTTGGAGTTTGGACTTCACTTTGTCCACAAGACCCTTGCAATCCTGATGAATGAGGCGGGTCGTGATGAGGGGGACACCCAGCTAACGGACCGGAAGAGAGCCCTCCGGGAACCGAATGATCGCCTGAATAGCACTCTTAGTGATCGGACCAACATTGCAATAGAAAGCCTCGCTCTTGGCCGGATTGGGAAGAAGGCCAGACACACCAGAGAACTCGTCAATGGAATCCTTTACGACACGGACAGAGTCACTATCACCATGACAGAATATGAGGAGATCATCAGCAAAACACAGGTGGGTGATCTTCAACTCCTCACAATTCCGGTGGTAGGAAAAAATGCCCGTCTCACTAATTTTTCTTTTGGTCATAAGGTTGAGAACCTCCATAACCAGGGTAAAAAGGTAGGGGGAGAGTGGGTCACCCTGCCTCAAGCCACGACCTCCCTTGAAATATCCATGGAGGTTTCCATTAATACTGACCGAGTACGATGCAGTGGAAACACATGTCATAATCCAGTTTATCATGGGAAGGGGGAAGCCATAACCGAAKAGAGCGGTACGGAGGAAATGCCAATCAACAGTATCATAAGCCTTTTGGATGTCAACTTTGAAGGCACAGCGGGGAGGGCCCCGATGCTTATGATAGCCACGCAAGAGCTCCTGGACGAGAAGGACATTGTCCGTGATGAGCCGACCCGGGATGAACGCAGACTGGTTGACATCAACCAGAGAGGAAAGRTGRTCTTTGATCCGATCCGCGATAATCTTGCTAATGATTTTATACACGACATTACAGCCAGCAATGGGTCGGAAGTCGGTGACCCGAGACGGGGCTGCAGACTTAGGAATGAGAGCAAGAATAGTGCTGTTTATAGACTTAAGGAGCTTATCAGACGTGAAGAAGTCACGAACGGCAGAGCACAGGTCCTTGCCAACGATATCCCAAGCAGCCTTGAAAAATTTAGCAGTGAACCCATCAGGGCCAGGCGCCTTTTCATCCCCAATCTGGAAGAGGGCCTGCTTGATCTCAGAGTCGAAAATGGGCACGAGCATCGAGGCAGTCTGATCGACAGTAAGCTTATTGGAAAAAAGAAAAGCGGGATCACGGATGGGGAGAGAAGGAAGAGGGGTCCCAAGGAAATTCTGGAAGTGGGAGACAAAAAGATCAGGAACCTCCACATTAGGGATCCAGATACCGTCAGCATTTTGGATGGTGTCAATATT